CCTGAACGTCAGCCATGAATTAAATTTTTTTGCTTCGATTGTTTTCAATGGTGTAGTGAGTCAGTATGCAGCTGAATGCTTAGACTTGTTTTTTTTACACTTTTTCTTAAAGTTTTGAGTACATCCATGTAACTCAAAATGAGCTGAGCTTGCAGAACAGCAGATACGAATGAATATAAGTGGTATACTATGGAACTGAAATGAAAACTGATCTGGAGCACTGGGCAGTGGCAGTTGGGAACTGCACCTGAATTTGATTTCCAGTCACATGGCGGTGCGTGTCATCCTCATGGCATATCTGTTTATGAATCATTTACTGTTTCGCTTAACTTTCTCTGAAATGCGGTCATTAGCACAGGATTGTTTCCAGAGTAGTTGTTAGGACATGCCTTTAAGTTATCCCTGTTTCTCATCAGCTTCCGATCAATTTTGCTGACGTATTCCGTAATGTAAAGGCTTTCTTGTACGTTTCGCGCATTAGCGATTTTACAGACTTCCGATTAGCTTATAAAGAGAGAAGTGTTCGAAACGCCATCACTCGAGCATTGGTACTAGTCCAGTTTTATGAATATTGGTATCTGGGATCCATAACCAGTATACGTTCATTCATGAACAGACTTCTTGAAGACGGTCGCCGTCAGTATTTGCCGCACCCAGTTTATACTGTATATAAAGCAGCAAACTTTCGGTTTCCATAATCGTAGGCGAGTTAAATCTTCTCGTAGATGATGTTCGGATGTTTGCAGAATTCGTCGAGATAATTATACCCGTTCAGCGAAGGCTAATCAACGTGTCTTCAACTTATCTGATGCTATCAGCATTCTGTTAAATATAGATTGAGATAAGTTAGTTATGGAGATGATATGGTACACAACTTATTGAAATTCTAAGTGCCAGTGCGCTTTATTGAACTATCGGTCCCAATCTCCTGATCATCATCGACCAACAATGGCAGATTGTCATCATTTGGCAGATGAACATTGAATTCATTTTGAGTTTCCAAATGTATTTATGGTATCGTTTTAGGAGTACGGAAGACTACGTATCATGGACGAACGCTTCGGCCATACGAAAGCATGTATTGGAGTTTAATGACATGCAAGATGATTATGATTTCTACTGCTGATTTGATGTTTTCTGTCATTCTATTAAAATTTTTTACCCATTCATGTCGTCTGCAACCGAATGAACTAGCCAACGTTCACTGACTGATATGTACTGAATGATTGTTCCTTCTAGGTGCATGCGCTGAACCGTGTTTTATTTTTTTCGTACATACAGATGGCCAAGAAGAGCGCGAAGTTGTTCAGTCCGGCGAACGCGGTGTACAGCGAATGGGCGATGCGCAACAACTTCGCCGTGTTGGAGTATAGCCGAACATGTCAAGCGGCTGCCTCTGGCTTCGCGGCCGGAATCCTCGGTTTGACGGGACTTTCCGGTTTCATGTTCTACTTTTTTTGCGCGTGCATTCAAGCAGTGATCTGGTACGTGAAAGCGGATTTTCGATGGGGCGAATATTTCGTAAATAAGTCATCTATTCTCACTTACGGACTTTTTGGAGGGCTATTTACCTACGTTTTGTTCTGGACTTTTCTTTACGGTATGGTGCATGTGTATTAAGACTAAATACAATCGCCGCTAGTTCACCATTTGTGAAATTATTCAAAGAGCGAACGTGTGATTCGACTCGACTTGATCGTTCCAGTTAACTGCGCTCATAAACGACAATGTATGCAGGTGTGTAATTTTCGTACTCACTTATGTTACAATAACGACTTTATAAAACGGCACCTTTCTTAGTGTTTATGGAATGAAAACCAGCTCTTCATCCATTTTTGATTTCCCATATTTGTTTCAGATTGTGGGAAAAGTTGTCTACGGAGGTTCTTCCAATGGTCCAGATCCTCGGCCAAGCAGACAATCTCTGCGGTTTAATAATTAACAACTGCGTATTGAGATTGGGTTCTTTGCTTCAGCACTGAGTCATAATTCATAATCTTAACTCAGGGCAATAATGCCATTATTGGATAATGCGTAATGTCATTGATTGTACAATAAGTTTAGCTCCAATTCATTTCTGTTAACGGTTCTGAGATGTAATAATACCATAAAAA